GCTGTGTTCTCTTTGTGAGAAGCTCATCACTGAGGGCAGCACACATTCTGAGGGAGAGAAGTTTGACTCCCTGACCTGTAAGGGAGGAGTGCGGAAGGATTTGTGAGCGTATACTAAAGCCATCAAACCGCCTGTGAAGGAATTTGTTGTAAGTTGAACCTGAATCTGGTGAAGCCTCTGCACGTACCTACCAGTTCACAGAGGAAATACAACAGGAAGACAAATGTGACAAATAACAAGATGGAGGAACAATAAGTAAAATTCAGAATGTGGGAAGTTTCTACAGAGTGAAGAACCTGGTTTCTTTAACAAATACACTGTGAGACAGTGAGAGGGACGGAGAGGGAGGGAGGGAGGTAGGAGAGTGAAAGAGCCTTAAGGGACATATCAACAAACTGCAATGTATGGATGCTTCTTGGATCTTGATTTAAGCAAACTGAAAAGATTTTAGGGAAATTTGAACATTAGATATTCAATTAATTATTTTTATTAGTTGTAGTGTTGAAGTGGTACTATGGTTATGTTTTTAAAGAGTCTTTATCTTCTAGAAATACACACTGCAGTATTACAGATGTAATGATGTCTCAGATTGCTTCAAAATGTCACATCAAGGGAGGAGTGCACACAGGACAAGGGTTGATTGCTAACGAGGCTGGGTGATGGGTATCCTGGGGTCCAGTCCACTGATGTCTCTTCTTTATGGGTGGTTACAATGAAAACTATATTGCCTACGAATTTGGGGTTATTTCATAATACGGAACAAAACCCACACCTCAGACTTTTATGTCTCTGGATATCAGTGTGCAGTATGTAAAATTTGTCTAAATATAAAGTTCCTCCATACATCTTGAGAGAGAAACTGCTGTATTTTAAATATTGATCAATTAAGTTAAAACTGAATTAGCACTTTTTTTTCCCTTTAAGTAAAAAGACCGTATTAGTCTAAATCTCACCATGGAATACTTTAGTATTACTTTCTCTTTGGTTTTTATCTCTGTCCGAGTTTCGTCCTCACCGGTTTCCCAATTCCCACTTTTATTTTTGGCCAAATGCAGAAATTACTCCTCTTGGACTTTCATTTTCTAATAATAGCGGAATTTGTCTTCAGTTCCTATCTGTTCTGATTTTTTTCTCCTTTTGCTTTTCTGTCAGATATTTTGGCTTGAATGAGTCATAAACATCTCTAGTTTCAGTTCTAAAATTTTTCTCTATCTCGTATTTAATGAATTTACTACCATTTCTCTATTTTGCGTGAAACTGTAGTGTCACTATTGAGTTTTCAAAATCTTAACAATTACTGAATCCACACTAAGTCTGTGTTCTCTGATGTTTGTTATTGTTTCAAAAGCAGATTCGCCTTTCCAGTGATATTTGGGTTAGGCTTATGTTCAGATTACCTGCCCTGACTCGACACCAGATGTCAGGGAAGCTATTTTGAACCTAAAAACATGTCCTCAAAAACTGGTAATTACTGTTCCCAGAAAAGCTAGTCACTACTTTTCTCCCTTTTATTTCTGATTCCTGTAGATGGAATGCCTTCTCCTTTGAAGGCTGATAGTATGACAGTCAAGTATTTGTTGTAGGAAATATGTTTTTATTTAGGTTTGTTCATCAACCTGATGACTGAGGTTTTTCTGTGTAAATCTAAATTCATGGAATTTTACCTAAATACGTATCTCTGACTCATTTATGCTCGAATAGCAAAGCAGTTGGAAAGTCCTGCCACCTTGCTAACTACCCGGACATACCACAACAGGTATTCATCTCTCTGCCCCAGTCTTCCTCACCTGTTACCTTCTGAGCTATAGACTCTGCTAAAAATGTCTCTGAATGTCAGTTCTTTTTCCAGTCATTTTTCTGAACATAGCATTAACTTTTGTTTCTTTTTCAGAACTTTTCTGAAACCTTTCTACTTTACTTGTTTAATCCTGTGGATTCTACATCAGAATTTAGGGAACAAGTCATACTTTTCTAGAAAAGAGGATATCACGAAAAATTCATTAAATTGGCACGTTAGCATTGTGGAGTAGAATTGTAGATGGTGTGCTGTCTTGTAGATACGCTGTGTCTGCCTAATACACGTTTTCGGTTGATTGGGTATTTGCTAAAAGTGGGTAATTTAGATTATCTACCTGCAATTTAATTCTTGTAGATCTCTAGTTTTTAATCTTGCAAGTGGTTAGTATTTAGTATGCATTTAAATGCAACTATGAACTGGTATGTAATATAATTTACATTTTTAGTAGTTAGGTATTAAACTCTTACTGTCTAGTTCCCGGATATTTGTTACAAAGTGAATGTTGTAGTTTTTAGTACTTTCTCTCATAATCCACACATGGAATTGGATTGCATGGAATTCGGTAGTGCCACTGTGCATGGAAAATTTCCAAACCATAGTTAAGGAAGGGGACACACAAAGTCACTGAGCCATGTAATCAGTCCACACTGCATGTCAGAAAGCCCACTTCAAGACGGGGCTAGATTTAAATCATCACATGAGGAAGAAAGGGAAACAGTTTCACCTCTGAAGGATTATTCTATTTTTACTTTAGTGACTAAGTTTTCCCAAGAAATTTCTTTTCAGCAATTAGTAGCTACTTACCTGTCTCTCATCCTGATTACTCTAACTTGGGATATTTGAGTTTCTAAAGCCTTTAACAAATTTCTTTTGTCCCAAATAAATTATTTAACACATTTTTATGTTTCTTTCCTCCTTCAGTGCATTCATTTGAAATCTTTCTGGAACTTCCTTGGCTTCTATGATACACTTATTATTACTTTGAACCTACTTTGAATAATTTTCTTTTTCTTTAACAGCTAAGGTCACTGGTGCCTAGTCAGACTCCTCGGCCTGAGTTTGGGCTGTCCAGAGGGTCACCACATTGAGATTTGTGCGTAGATTTGAGATAACCTTGCTCAGATCCATGGGTCATTCATTACTGCCCCACTGCAGTAAGAGAGACTTCCTTGCTGCTAGAGAAAAGACCAGATATTTATGTCTGGGGACAAATTGTGCATCCAGGGGATTTTAAACAGAAGTCAGATGAACAGATTGAGATAAAGTAGGCTTCAATTTATTATAAAAATTAGGACCAGAAAACAGTTGCTTCACAAACCACTAGCATAGTTCACCCAGGAGCCCGGCCTGGACTGGAGAGAAAGTTGTAACTGTCACTGGGGGGAAGAGGATCAGAGTGAAGCATGAGACAGCGGAGGTCCCCAGAAATCGGAGGCAGAAAGCTGTTGTAATATGAAGCAGAGCACCCCTGGCCGCTCTTTGAAAGACTCTTGCACAGTCATTTCTGTCTCAGTGATGCCCCGGGCGTCCTGTTTAGGTACTCTTCCTCTTCGGTCCCTCACTTACTGTCTTATTTTCTAGTTCCAAAGCCACTCAGTTCGCATCTTTATACCCTAGAGTACCTACCAGTACTCAGAGACTAGCAGTGACCTTTCTTCCTGAAAGTCCCGTTCTTGGTGCTTTCACATCGTCTCGTCTTGATCACAGGATCAGGATGATTATCCCTACTTAATAGACTGCCTCCAGGTCCCACAGCTGGAGATTCTGCAACAGGAATTTGAACCCAGGCTTTTCTCCTTGAGTTTGTGATGCTTCTGTTTCACCTCAGTACAATGTCCTCTTATCTCCTTCCTGTAATCTCTCCTCTTTCAGCCCTATTCCCACCTGGAGTTACTGAAATATTATTTTCTTTGTTATTTCCCTATTCAGAAATGCAGAGTCACTCTCTTGTTTTTCCCCAGTTGTAAATACTGCACTCAGAGCTCTTTCCAGACCTCCCGCCATTTCTTCTGTCCTGATGTCCTGCTCCCAACGGGGAGTGCTTTGTGGAAGTACTTTTCTTTGGCACTACTAGTCACCCTACTCGGCTCTACATTTGGAGTATCTGTGCCTTTGTCTCTTTCCTTGAAATGTTCCATGTTCCTCTTTTCCTAAAAATTCTTGTTCAAACCTTTTGTGATTGGACCCATTTGACAGCTTACTTCTAGATGACATTCCTCTTCCCTTATAGGATCACCTTCCGATATTCATGAGGGATTGGTTTCGCGGATAACAAAATCCGTGGGTGTTCAGGTCCCTAATATAAAATGGAGTAGTGTCCTCATAGAATCCGCACACCCTCCTGTGCACTTCAGGTCCTCTCTAGATTTCTCATGCTGCCTAATGCAGTGTAAGTGCAACGTAAATAATCGCTGGCTGCTGGCAAATTCAAGTTTTGCTTTTTGGAACTTTCTGGATTTTTTTCCCCCAAACATCTTTGGTCCATGGTTGGTTGAATCTGCAGACACGGAACCCATGGATCCACAGAGCAGACTATATATTTATTGTGTATTGCATTGCTGTGTATTTGCTCTTTGGGTCCTTGCAGTTGTACATTCTTGCATTATAAACAACTGTCTAAGCTCCTTTCAGGTGGATGCTCGGCCCTTTTTTTTATTTCACATTACCTCAAAGCACCTGGTAATATTTTGGATACAGAGATCATTTAAGCAACATTGACTAAGTTACTCCATTTGAAGTCTGTGTTTTAATCAGATAAAACTAGTGGTGTGGTCATACATAATTTAAATCCTGATATTTGCATCCAAGAAAAAGGGATAATGATTTCTTCAAAATGTTGATACTTATAAAAATTACATTCTACGTAGTCCTCAAAACCAGTGAGGTGAAACAAAGCAATCCCCCACCCCAAATGCACAGGCTCAAAGACTGTTGCTTTCACCACGTGATGGCTTTAGGCAGATGAAGACCCTTGAAATCGTCAGATGGTGAAGGGTGTCATTTCCCTTGTGGTATGATGGCTTCCCTTTCCTCACCCTTTTGTCTTTAACACATCAGTCCCACCGATGGCATACGTTGCATGGCAAACGCAGACTTGAACTAAAACCTGGAGCAGCCCTCGGCACCTCTCAGAGATGAGAGTCTGAGGGTAATTCTTGGAATTGTGCTAGTCAATTTCAATCCTGTGTTTTCTCTTTTTCAGGTTTCCTGAAATGCAGTTTTTCCAACAAGAAAATGTGAGAAAAATTCTTACAGATGTTCTTTTCTGTTATGCTAGAGAAAACGAGCAGTTGCTTTATAAACAGGTAATGAAAATATCGTACAGGTGGCATCCATTGACTCAAAATTTTCCATACAGCTTGACAAATGATAGAGCAATAATGTAGCCTTTATTGTATCCAGAGCTGCATCATAATAGTCACGCAATCAGAGAGCGGCTCGTCAGCTGCCTGGCGAGAAAAGTGAGCTCCTCGCAGCACATATGCCTCCTCCTTATTGGGAGACATTCCACCAAATTGTCTCCTACAAGGCATTCAATCTTTTCTTTCAACTTTTGGGAGTTTGTTTATAAACAGCATCTTTGAAGGCAATCTAGTAATAAAACTTTTCAGAGTTGCAGATATAAATATTGTTTCTAAGCACTGCATTTATAAATATGTGACATGCCATGTAGAAAATAATCAGGTGTCCTTTTGCTCTTTAAAATTCACCAGTAACGTAGCTTCAGAAAGTCCCTTTCAACTTTTTGAAATTTATATGATATTCTTTGTGATCCTGATGTTTGATTCATCTCATTACTAACGTATATTATTGGATTGTGTTTGCTCTTTTTGAAATGTAAATTGTTCAGTATATAAAGAAATGTCTAGGTTTCTATTTAAGCTTATGAGGTTCCAATAAAAATACACAAATTGCGTATTTTTATGGGTTTCTCAAAATGCATATTAAGTGGAAATTCAGACACTTATTAATTCTCTAACAACCCAAAGTTGTGATGTCCAGCTGATAACCACCAAAATTCAGTGTATTATAACAAAAAACTTGCATGGTGAGAGCAGTATACTTAATTTGAGATAAACTTGATTCACTTAAAGATAATAAACCAAGTCATATTACAGTTGTCCTTAATAACATATTTGTTACTATATACATAGGATACCCAAGGGAACTAACTTTATCTTAGATTTGATATTAGTAATATATCTTTATATTAATCACATGGTGATAACTAGCTTTTAGAGTGGAAAAAAAATACCCTATTTATAATGGCAACCAAAACTATCAAGTGTCTAGAAATGAATTTAACGGTATCGGAACAAAAGTTATATGAAGACAGCTGTAAATGTTATTGAAGGATAAAGGAAACACTGAATAAATAGAAAATTGATGGTATGTTTTTAGGTGGGAAGATACTAAGTAAAACTATTACTTCTATTACTGTATAAATGCATTACCATTCCAGTGATAATCTAAGTGAGACATGTGGTTTTTAAAAACTAGACACAGTTGTTTTTCATTTAATGCCAAAAAGGTTTACAGTAATTTTTATGAAGATAATATAGCTTAGTGGTTAAGAACACTGGGTCTAGACTCAGAGGCCTATGTTTGAATCTCAGCTCTACCACTTACTAGCTGCACAATCTTAGGCAATCTTGCTTAGCTTTTCTTATCCTCAGTTTCGTTGATGAGAGCAATGATAGAATTGACTTTGTAGAGTCAGAAGCATAGAGTGCTGACTGAGAGCTCACATTAGTGCCCGGGGCAGTTACCATTAGTTATCATCATAGTCGGTGTTAGATATGCTGGAGTCGCCACAGAATTTAAGGGAAGGGGAGAGTGGCCCGGGGACATATGAAAGCTCTGATAACTGTTCTGTTGATCAAACCAATGTAACAGGGGTGTGGGAATTGAGAAATAGATCAGTGAGACAAACGAAGAACAGGTCCAGTTACAAATGAAATGTTAATGTGACAAGCCAGGGCATTTTCATTCAATGGGAAAAGGATATGGGCTTGCCATATTTGGCTTTGCATCTGGAAAAAAAGATTAACTTAGACCTTTATTGGAGAATAAATTCCAGATAGGGTAAAGATATAATTTTAAAAACTAAAATTACATAAAAATACAATAAAACCATTTAGGAGAATTTTTTATCATCTCAGGGTAGAAAAGGCCTTCCCAAGCAAGTTAGGCTATTCAGATTGGATACAAAGTTCAGAAGTCAAAAACAAACCAAAGAGGAGACTGGGAGAAAATAAATTTCAATCAGTGTAGAATTTAGGGGGAAGCAAAGAGCAGAAAATTCCATTCAGGATGCCTGAAAGTCTAAGAGCATTATTAACATGCTTTGCAAGAAGTCTGGGGGCAGAATGCTTCTGCAGCTTTAGTTCTGTGGCTCGGGCTCTTCACCTGTGATCTGCGTTTATTTCTGTTTTTCTGCACTTCTCATGGTGTTGGCTTTTGTCATCAAAAGCCTCTTCATTGTTCCTCTCCTCTTTCTGATTTCATAGTAAAAGATTTGATGATAGCAAATCAAGTCTGAATAAAATTATCCCAGCTTTACATCTGTTTCCTCTTTTTCTCTAGAGAAAGGAAGATCTAGATTAAGGAAGTCTTAAGATAATGGAAACAAGTTCCATGGACAAGGAACAAAAGCATAGTAACTGCACACGCCATCATTTGTGGTGTATGCCCCCCTTTTATGAGAAAGACTAAACAGCAGTCTGGAAGATCACATTCTTGATAATTCAGATTAAGTCTATCAGTTACTGAATAGGAAAGTATTATTAACTCACTCCTGGTTATCACCTACTAAGGCTTAAATTACACCCTGTGCACATTAAAAATGCTATAGATTCTTTACATAGAAATGATCCCTTGCTGTAAAAGGACTGTGAATATTTCGCCAGATCAAATTTAAGAGAAAACCTTGAGTTTCATCACAAGCTGTTAAAGCTATTATTTTGTGCTAGGTGACACCCCGTTTAACATCGACCATATTGTTAATAGTTATGGGATTTTATTGAATTAATGAGACTGTTATCATGGAGTAGAATGTCTTGCTGAGTTAATTGAAACTGCAGAGATTATATAAATGGTATTAATGAACTTTGACTGCCTGATGTCTCCACTTTAATAAAGACTGCTTGGTGGGCTAAATGAGCACAGGCAGATAAAAGAACAGGTTCAATTTTGTGAGCCTACAGGCTGTTGTCGAAGGAAACTTTGTTACCTTTATTTTCAACTGGCATGAGTTTGGGGCACAGTGACTACTGCAGATCCAGCAGGGGAAAGGCTGTCAGCAAGCCAGGGTGCCCGCCAGCAGTGTGGGTGCAAGGAAAGCACGCATTTGGGGGACCAGGAAGTACCCTGACAATACATTATTTTTTATGACACTTTGTCAGATTTACAGCATATCGAATTTATGACTGTTCTTTCTAGATACGTCTCTTTTCCCTTAAAGATGTCTATATGTTTGCCACCTCTAAATATTAATCAGGTTTCACTAGTCAAGAATTGAGAGTAAAACTAACAGTCTGTTCCAAGTCTATTTGAGGAAACTATCCCTAGTGTAGTTGGGAGTCAACACTGAATTTGTAAGAGGATGTCTTAATGGTATTCAGGGGCTCTGAATTTCCATTATACAAAAAGCACCCTTATTTATTGATGGGAAATGTTGAAATATAATTCAGTATTCTTTTCCATTTTGCATATTGTAGTTCAACTGTTGCCATTGTGTTGATAAATGAAATACCAGCCTTCATTTATTCCAAAATGAATGAGTGGTGACTGTATTGACTGGTAGCTGTTTCATTCCTTCAGTCCCTAGGTAGTGAGTACCTTGTACATGCTGAGCCCGTAGTAGGACCTGGGTGTGTGTGTGTGCGTGTGTGCACACTTATGTGTGCACGCATGCACACATGTATCAGTTGTCCCAGTTGATAAGTGTATAGCACTTCTATGCTTGTTTTGTTATTGTGTGTCTTGCCACGTAGACTGTGGGCGCCATCATGGTTAGGAGTTTGCCCACTTCATTCATTTTTGTGCTCCCAGCACATCATAGATGATTTGTACGTAGTTTTTGGAATAAATGAAGGTGAATGGTGCATGAGCAAATGGAGAATCCGGAAGGAGTAGTGTCGCAGAAGCTAGAGGGACAAGAATGTTTAAACAAGGTGAGAAGAGGCAGTTAGCAAGAGCTCCTTCTTATTAAACCAGCCGTAGTCAGTGAGAAAACACAGGGAGGGGAAAAAACTGATGGGAAAAGTTCATTCGGAAGATCACTGCCACCAACACCAACCAAAACCTAGTAATAAAACTAATAAAAACTATGCAGGTCTACACATTTTTGGACTAGAAAATCTGGTGGTGTTAAAAAATCCTTCTTACAGTTAAATCTAATGCAAAGGCAATAAAAATTGTAGTATTTTGTTTAGCATTTTATGTAACTAAATGTTACTGAAGTTAACTTGGATGAAAAAAATGTTAGCGTAGTCAGAATGATTTTGAGAAAAAGAACAGAAAATATGGAGAAATGAAATATTTTATAATTCAGGTCATTACAGTGCTAAAGTTCTTGTTAAGAGTATATAGACCAATGGAATACCAGTAAAAACTCAGGGAGAAAAAGAGCTAAATATTTAGTTTATGATAAAGATGACGTTTCAGAACTCTTGGGAGAAAATGGATTATTCAGTAAATGATGATTATTCAACAGATTAGTTTAATTCCTTGAGAGAGAAAAAAATACATGTTTGTTTATTCTTCAGGGCAAAGTTAAATAATTCATTATAAAAAAGGAAACTATATGTTTAACCTAATATTAATATGAGGAAGTCTTTTTAGACATGAAAGCAAAACAAGAAACCATGAAGAATGAATGAAAGATTTGACTATTTTAAAGCATACAGCTTCACAATGACATAAGATATATCCTCAAAATTAAAAGACAAATGATAAACACGGGAAAGTATTTGTAAGAAAAGTGACTAAAGGTTAATAGTCTACATTGGTAAAGAATTACTATAAATCATCAGGAAAAAGGAAGATACTTCATCAGGAGAAAATGGACAATTCATTACATAAAAATGGCCAATAAAATGTGTTCAATCTCACTAGCATTTAAGTTAAAACCACCATTTGATGGTGAAACTTGACAGGATTTAAAAAAAAAAAAAAGGACAAATATAGGTGGGGATGTGTGAGATGGTGATTTTTATGCCCTAAAGTGAGGGAATTCTTCCTGAAGGGCAGGTTAATTGTATATACCAAATTGTATGTATATCTTAACAAATGTCTTAACTACCCAGGAATCCTACTCCTGGGGACTTTATCCTAAGGAAATCATCAGAAATGAAGCAAAAGATTACCAGAAGGAGTCTATCACAGTTTTAAATTTCTTTCTTTTCTTTGTTTAGGCCCTTCCTTCCTCCCTTCCTCCTTCCTTCCACCCTCCCTTTCACCCTCCCTTTTTTTTTTTCTGCTTTTTGTTTTTTGCTTTTCTGTAGTTCTCTATAATAAGAACTGTTACTTTGATGACTAAAATGATGGCACTTGGTCTTTGGAATAACTTGAGCTTATTCCTGGAGAGTGAGTGCCTCATGATGATTTTAAAGCACACCAGCAGCGCTGTTCCCACTCTTTCTGGGTCTCTCCCGTGTTCCCCTAAGGAACAGTCTTTTCAAGGTCTGTTTAGCAGGGGTTGGTTATCTAAAGAGACTGAAGTGCTATGTGGTAATTTGTCCTAAATTACAAGTAAGTTGTCAATGGATCATGAATCATTTCGTAAAAATGTCATTAAGTCCTTCTAAGTCAAGGCTAGTGATAACTTGCAAATGAACTCCGGCAGCGTTTACTTTTGTGTGGCTTTATGACAATAGCCGGTGTCCTGCGAGCAGCAGAGAGCTGCTAGACTGGGCAGAGGCCAGTATCACTGTCCTCCCGTCGCAGGGGGTTTCTCTCATTCCACCAGGAAAATCGTTCTCTCTGCTTTTGTGTTTTATTGTTATTTCCTGTAAAGGTGGGGTTTTGTCTTGTCTTTTTCTAAAAGATCATCTGTAGGCAAAAGGAAAATAGTAATTTACTCCCTCTAAGAGGCAGCAGAGAGTGTAGTCTATTTTTAACTTGCTAAAAAACATTTTTTGATGCCTAAGTAGGGAAACAATCTCCATTAACAAGGCAGGTTACTGTCGTGAACCACCTCATTTCCTCTCAGTAACAGATGAAAAATGCATTTTTATAAAATCCTTTGAAAGACATCTTAGTAACTAACACACCTTTTTGTTTCTGTGTCTATTCATGAAATCCGCAAGTGAACACTAGTATAAGGAAAAAGAAAATTGTATGGGTGAAATCACTAAATAAATTCAAAAGTAACCTTATAGTTGAAGTTGATAGGAAAAAAATCATGGTCATCTTCTGCTTAAACATGTTGAAAATCCTACTTTAAAAACTTTGTTTTCTCTCATACCTGCTAAAGGTTGTTTCTCTTATTATCCAACATTTCCAGCTAGCTGACTTCAGCGCTTCCTAAATCTACAGACATCCTAATTTTGAGCCATTATATAATGAAAACATTGGCTGTAATTTCCTTAGGTCTACAGTTCTCAGTTGCCCTTCTTACTGCAGATCTTTACACTGTAGCTCATGATTATCATTTGCATAAATGAAATTCATATTTATGAGCACAGATCCTGAAGCAACTGACAGGTGCAAGGTTGTCTACCATGCCAATTTATTGTTTGTTGTGTCATTTAAAAGAGAACTGCTCCCCATGTTTTTAAAGAAGAATGCGTGCTGTGGCTGAATTGGAGTCAGATTCTAAAAGGACATAAAATCGCATTTTGTAGCTGCTTCTGTGTATGCTTTTCTGTATAGTGTGGAAGTGCAGGTGGTGGGATCAGCTGCAGAAGCTCTCAGCTGGGCTGGTCCTGTCCACCCGCCACTCTTCGTTGTCTGTTTCAGGGCATGCACGAGCTGCTGGCCCCGATCGTCTTCACCCTGCACTGTGACCACCAGGCCTTCCTTCACGCCAGTGAGTCTGCGCAGCCAAGGCAAGTCATGACATAAGCCCCTCTGTTTTTTCAGCCCTGCTGTGATCTTTTTCTCACCTCAACATCTAGTCCATTGAAAGTATTTCATAAATTGTAAACATCTGGTTGTGTTTCATGCGGCTGGCTGTTCATCCCACTTCAGCTATGGGGCAAATTTGGAATTGTAAGCATCTTAGTAGACCTTAGAGCTGTACCAGAGGACGTATAACTGATGGATCAAGAGGAGGAGATTGTTGTTGTAACGGCAAAGTGCTAGTGATGGTTAACATTCATACGTACTGTCCTGTCGTGACCCGTCTTCCACTGCAGGCTGGGAGGGAACCTTTACCTGCGAGATACTTCCTCCTCACCAGAGTCGACTCAGTTCAGTTCATAAATAGGAGAGCAGTTCCACAAAGAACCCCAGTCTTTAGATAGACAAAAATGACTTCTCATGTTTTTGAAATATGTTAATTTATTATTTCCAGAAAGTAATGTTAATTGTAATGAACTTAGGCCAATTCTTAGAATTTATTCTCTAACTTAAGAGATGCTAACTAGTCAGGCCAGAGAGGCAGCCAGGAAGCATCCTGGAAAGGGAGAGCTGAGGGAATGTAAAACCTTGCCAGGAATATTCCACAGGCTAGCCCATCTCTATGCAGAGAATAAAATCAACGCACAGCACTCCATGTGCCTTTCTGTACGATCTTGATTAACCAAATATAGCCATCCATTTTGCTGAGCATATATTAGGGTATTTGTCAAATTAACTTGCTTACTGTATTACAGAGTAGTATTCTCTTGTTCCTTTTGACTTTTTCTAATTATGCTGAGTTTACTGGATCTGACCTATAGTAACCACACCTTACTTGTCATTGCTTCAGTTATTCTAAAGGGTAAGGGTGAAGTTAGTGTGGGATGGTGTTTTCATGCAGCTTGTCATCTTTAAACCATATATGCTAACATATTTCGCAGTAAAGTATACACTGAGAATAGCTTTTGAATGAGTTGGACATGCTTCTGTAGCTGTTTCAACCCTTTATAAAGTAAAAGCAACCCTAAAATAGATTTGGAAGAGGTGCCCTCACTGATTAATTGATATTAAAATATAATAAAAGGAGAAGCCATCAAAAGAAAATAATGTTTTGATATGGGATATTTGACTGGTAACTATATTTATTTTGTTTTGTTTTGGACAAGTGATGGATTGCGGAGTAATCAGTTTACTCTAGACCAGGCACTTCTGAGGAGTGTATTGTCACATTCTGTATTTGGTATTTAGAATAATTAGAGAGTTACCTCATTGTGGTGCCAACAGGGAGCTAATTTGGTTTTGATCCTTATAGAAAGAAAGGATTTCATTTGTTAATGGAGTTGCTCTTTTTATTAATAAAGGCTAGCTTTTTTTAAATTTACACATTTATGCAAGTGGGCTTGTGAGTATAGAAAAAGGCCACCTCTGCATGTCCTTCAGTTAAAAAGTTACACCTGCTGATTGCTTGTATTGCTTTTTTAAGTGAGGAAATGAAAACGCTCCTGAACCCTGAGTACCTGGAACATGATGCCTAGTAAGTACAGAAGCTTGGTTACTTTTACTTTTGAAGCCATTTTTACATTGATGGAGGTTTAACGTTAGCATTATATTATTTTTCTAATTTTTAGTGCGATGTTCTCCCAACTTATGGAAACTGCTGAACCTTGGTTTTCTACTTTTGAGCATGATGGTCAAAAGGTAAATCTTACAGTGCAGATCTTTTCAATATATTTGAGGGACCAAATGATTTCAGTCAGTAACTTTAAGTTTAAAGTAAGTAAGTTGAAAAACGTGATCAGAGAATAGAAGCTATTATTATTACTATAAAAAATGAAAATACAAGAATACCTGTGGAATAAGTTTGAACTGGGAATCTAAATCATGTCTCTAGTAATACTGGCAGATATAAAGAGGTAATATAAAAATGTCATATAAATAAGTAGAAACTTTCTTTTATGTGTCTATTTTATGCAGGCAGTATAATTTCTTACTTAAAAATGATTATAAATTTTGAGTGATATGTGCATTTATCTACTTGGTCTGTCGCTACCCCCGTGAGTTGATAGATACTGAATTGTGTGGACAACTCTGTGTCAGATTGGTTGTTTTACTTGACTAATGCATCACTATTGAATATATACGTTTAGCATCAGTACCATTTATGCTTACTCTCTCTTAACCTTATTTTTTAACTGTAATTTTTTGTGTGAAATAATTAACATACCGTAACAGTCACCTCTCTAAAGGTACAATTTAGTGGTTTTTAGTATTGTCACAGGGTTGTGCAAATGTCCCCACTCTCTAATGTCAAAACATTTCCAGCACCCCCAAAGGAAATCCTGTACCCATTAGCAGTCCCTCCCTTAACCCCATTCCCCAGAGCCCTGGCATCACTGGTACACTATCTATTTCCTGGACTTGCCTTTTCTGGACACTTCATATAAATGGAATCATATAATATGTGGCCTTTTGTGACCAATTGTTCACATAGCATAATATCCTCAGTGTTCATTCATATTGCAGCAGGTGTCTGTCAGTACCTCATTCCTTTTCACAGCCAAATAATGTTCCATTGCCTGGATATATACTACATTTTATTTTCCAAACATCCATTGGTGGACATTTGGGTTCTTTCCACTATTTGGCCGTTAAGAATAACGTTACTGTGAACATTTATGTACAAACTTCTGTGTGAACATATGTTTTCAGCTCTCTTGCTGTATCTCTAGGGGGTGGGATTGCTGAATTAACTGTCATTTTAAACAAACATATATGCTAACTTAGAGGTCATTGTGGTCTTTTCATTGTTATTACACAATAATGGGAAAATTGTAAAATATTCTGACAAGGGATGTTGTTAAGAGTGTTTGGTATATTATTTTCTGTACAACTAATTTCTTTTGTATTGGTATAATTGAATGCATCCTGGTTAGAAACCATGCATTGCTCAGTCACTTCACTCCATCTCTTAGAAAATGAAATGACTATCTAATGCTTTTTATGCCTTTGCTCTAGGTCAGGGCAAACTACTGCCTGCAGGCCAATTTGGCCTGCCATCTGTTTTTGTACAGCTTGTGAGTTAAAAATGGCTTTTACATTATTAAATGGTTGGAAAAAAATATCAAAAGAGAAGTAATATTTTGTGACATATGAAAATTATCTAGAGTTCAGATTTCCATGTCCATAAAGAAAGTTTGGTTGGGATGCAGCCACCCCTGTTGGTTTCCTTGCTGCCTGTGGCCGCGCTCATTACACCGGCAGAGCTGCGGACCTGCAGCTCAGACCGTGTGACCTAGAAAGCCCAAAATATTTCCCATCTGGCTCTTCACAAGGAAAGTTTGTCAACCCCTCACCGAGCTGATAAAGTCTTCTTTCAGCAGTACATCAGCATGCTACAGTCCTTAAGGGTTATTGGAGGGGAAACTTGCTGTAAGCATGTGTGATGAACTGCTTTACGTTTTGGAACAATAAATCCATGTCCTTGGCAGGTGATGGGATGAAGTCCTAGGCTTATGTGAGCATCACATTTTGAGCAGAGTACTTGAATACATTTAAATACCGACATCATGATCATTTTATGCAGTGGCCACTTTGTAGTTTATAACTGATTCAAGTATCTGAGAAACTGAGTAATAAAAATGTGAGGGCCGCCATTTTTCAGGTTTACTTATTCATGTTGCTGTCACAAAATCAAGTCATGAAAATGGCTAAGACAACACAATGACATTTATTTTACCAGGGTCACATAGATGTGACCTCTGAGAAATCATGTTTATTTGCATTTACCAGTGCATAATATATTCCTAAAAAACATGTTTACTGACTCCCTTTTTTATCCTCCCCTTTTTATTCTGTTTCATGATTCTGTCATCTTTTTAAAAAGAAGTTCAAGAAATTAATATATCACTCCTTCATTCAGTTCTTCTAATCCCGTGGAAAGTTCAGGTCTATTCCTACATGTGCTGCCTAGTTCAGCAATATACTTTTTGTGATAAGACTTTCTCTGTGAAGGAAGCAGTGCACGCATTTATGTAATGGTGTGAGGTCATTACCCGGCTGCAGTCCTCCAGCAGTTTGTGGCCTGGCACTGATCTGTTTAACGCACTTTGAGAACCACTAATAAGTGGTTAGAAAGAGTCCCGTTTTATTGGTCGTTGTAGCCGTCTCATTTGATCATATTTGTTAAATGCAAATAGCATTCTTTATGATAAGAAATCCTGAAGATAAGGAAGTATTTTACATTAACTCTATCTTTACTCTGTTTTGATTTTACTTTTAGATAGGCTAAGCTATTTATTAGCATTGTAGTTCTCATGAACATTACTTTCAAGTTTTTAAAATTTAAGATATTTTATTACAAGTGTTCTGAGGGGAAATCTTTCCTAACTAGAACTGGTATATGACTGTAGTTCTTAGACTACACATGAATCTCTGTTAAGTATTTGAAGAATGGGCTACAGATGCTATTGATTTAATGACAACTCATTCTATTCCAAGTAGAAATCAGTAGTATGATTTCATTAAGATAAACATTTTTTAACAGATTAATTTAGGATCAGTTCTCTCCAAAGCCAGCAGTTAGACTTTCAGGAGCATGTTTATTGAAGGCCCTTAGAAGAGGGCTACATACAGTGTTCTGTCTTCCATGTGGTTGTTAGAAACCCTGTCTGAGCTCATGCTTCTACCATACACTGCATGATATTCAGCCCACAGGTTTCTGCAGTAAAGAGATTTACCTCTCTCCTGTCTATACAAATTAATGAAAATTAATTGAGCCATAAAAATTAACATGGTTGTATGTCCTTCAGACCTAAATACACTGGGGCAGACACTGTGGAGAGTCCTAAGGACTGTGTTTCTTTTTAAGACTTGAAATGATTCTGAAAAGACAGCTTCCGGGAAACTTCCATGAACTCCTTCCAGGAAATTTTCCCTGATACACATGCCCCTCCCTCCCCTCTCCTGCACTTTCTACTGACCTGATTAGTCACAGCTCTGATACGGAATTCTGAGGGTTTCCTCAGTGTAGTTTTCCCTCCGGACGATGAGGGCAAGAGCTTTTACCTTCCTTATCTTCATGCTTCTGAATCTGATTCAGTAACAGAGGGATGACACTCCCTTTAGAGATCGCACAGTTTAGGAGGCAGAGAATTGGGTGAGCTTGCCATGGGAGAGGAGGGAGAAGATGATAATGAACCAGGACCTGGCACTTGAGCCGAATCTTTAAATGCATTTGGGGCTTCTGGGTGGAAACACCAGGGAGGGGGCTATTTCAGGTCGAAGGTGGCATCCCAGGACCTCTAGAAGCACAGTGAGAATAGAGGCCGTCCAGGTAATGGAAAACCTTGTAGACCTGCCCAAAGAATTTAGATTGATTGTTCTGTTTTCCCCAGAGTAAAAACAGCGAGGAGCTGTTAGGAATGTTTAAGGAGGGCGATCTGGCCTAATCTAACATCTGCTTTAGGTGGAGCACCAGAATTTTGGAAGATGGATATAGAAACAGACTAAATCAGGGGCAGCAAGACCAGGAGGAAAGGAAAGATTAGGGCCCCAAGTCAGGTTGTCACAGTAGAAGAGACGCACGGGAGTCCCCTGAGTGGTTCTGAGGAGCTAAAATTGGCAGATTAGGTGTTCTCGTTGGGGGATGAGTTGAGGTAGGCTTGGGGAGGATGAACGTGCCTTTGAGCAGGAGGTGATGACTCGGCTGTGGGCCTGCTGCCTTAGAGACCCCTTGGGAATCTGGGATTCTTTGCCAGCATTGGAGTGTGTGGGAGGCACTCTCGAGTTCTGGGTCTTGAGTACAAATGAGGAAGTCTTTGGAAAATGGGTTTCAGTTGAAGCCCTGTGTGTGGCTGAGCTCACTCAGGGAATTGAGTGTAAGTAGAGAATAAAACTAAGACCAGGGCTGTAGGAGAAAGCAGCATTCATGAAACAGAGACAAGAACCTGAACGAGAGAGGTAGACTGACGATGAGTGGTAGGCAGAGAGTCACAAGAGAGATGCTGTGAATCCCAATATTGGAAAGAGGCGGAAGTGGAGGACCGGACATCGGAAGAAAGGTCAGACGTAGTGTGTTAGGTAAACCCTCAGACTTGAGGGGGCAGTTGAAGTTTACATGAAGACATGGCAAGGAGTGACAGATCTGTCTTTCTCAGTCAAGGGCATGGGATGGCAGAAAGGGACGCTAAAGTTGGCCCACAGAGATTTTTTTTTTTAAGTCAGCTGTATTTGTGGTCTGGAGAATTTTAAAATATTTCTACCCAGCTATTTAAATTGATCAAAAGACAGAGAACATCTTCTTTTCTAGTACTAGTTTACTTTACTTCCTGGCATTTTTTTTTTTATAGTTTTGAGACCTCAAAGGAAAACCGTTTTCAGTCACTTTTTTTCATGTTGACGCTTTATGTCACAAGAAGTAAGTTTTCCTCCCGGTGTTCCGTTTCGGTACTGGGGCTGCTGATTAGACACGCTGGCCGTGGACAGGTAGACTGGTGGCCACCACTGCTTCTAGCCAGAATCATCTTGTAAGAGTTCGTGTCCCCAGAGAAACTGCTCAAGGGAACACAAGGAGAATGTATTTTAGGATATTTCCTGGCCTTTATGAGCGCAGTCATCTGTATGACGATCAGCATAGAATTCCACATTTTAAGCATTCGTCATGAGATAATATAAGAAGATGTTGGCTCCTATTTAAACTCCTATTGATAAATACATTCAAGAATGATGTCCATATATTTGTTAATTTCACTATTCAAATAATCCGTGTTCCATTTTTCCTGTTTCTAGGGGAAGGAGCCCCTGATGACGCCTATCCCCTTTGCTCGACCACAGGATTTGGGGCCAACAATTGCTATTGTTACTAAAGTCAACCAGATCCAGGATCATCTGTTGAAGAAGCACGATATTGAGCTTTACATGCACCTGAACAGACTAGAGATTGCACCACAGATATATGGCTTGTAAGTATTCGTTTAAATCTCATCATCACCTAATTGTGGTTTCTGGTGGCTTCTGTGTGTTTCAGACTCGTAGACACGAGAGTAAGAGCTGTTCCAGCTCCATTTCATGCCATGGCTCCTTTGTGTTTCGTGTGCCAGACTGTGCTCATGGCTTTCGTATATGGTGTTTCCTCCAGTCCCCCCACCAGCCCCGTTAACTGGGCATCACTCTCTGGTTATGGAGGAGGAAACTAAGGCTTACACTGAGCTTACACGTATTGAACTGTGAAGTCATAGTTCACATCCAGGCAGTCTGGGCTCCATAATCTGCAGAGCCTAGTGCAAAATAAACGCGAATGGCCCCTTCAAAAAATAAATCAGTGGGAATTTCGAGATGGCAACAGCCAGGCATTAAACTGAGCATTCTGAGAAGGGCAGGGTCACACAGATTGTACACGCACGAAGCCAGCCCCGAACCCCAGCATTCCTGCAGATAGTCGTGTTCTTTCCATTTATAGTGTGGTTATCTGGTCTACCCTCAGAAGTGCATTTCTAAAAGTAAGGTAAATGTCCCTCACAATGAAAATATAATATGTTAAACTTCTTCAGCCAGGTGACTTCTGTAACATGCTATATAGCAGAAGAAAGTGGAGCTAGTCACCTTTGGAGGAGGGGAGGGTGTGCACACGCATTCAACGTGAGGCAATTTAGAAAGATAACAACTGTAATAAATATGCATAGTTATGTAGGGGCACAGACAATAAAAAGATCCTTTAAATCGAAACAGTGTGACATTCGTATCTAGTGCCGGGCAGTCCTTGGTAGATACTTTCTGCAAATCCCATCTCTCAATTAGATAAATAAGGAAAGTTGAGAAGATATTCCTGAGATCTATACAGTAGATTCTCATTAAATAAATATGAACTCAGTATTTGAATTAGGGAGACTCTAAAGTCAGAGGATTAGAACCAGAGCGGAGGCTGTTTATTCAGCCCAAAGGAAAGCAGATCCATGAGTGTTTTCTTTATGTCTTCACGTTACACCGTGTATGACTAATCATAACTCAGCCGTTCTCCTCTGGAAGTCCTGGGCTGTGGTTGACGACGTCTGCCCTCCTGTTTTAACGGTGCCTATTTCCATCTCTGTGACTTAAGCTTGACTCTGTGGCTGATAGCAGCTCCGTCGCTCCCAGTGGACGTGAGTGCACGTGCGCATCACGGGCACGGGGCAGTGCCGTCGGGAACTGATGAATTGACATCACGCTTCTAAGTCCAGCTGCTTTGTGTGTGATTATAGAATAAAAAAAAAAATCTAAAATGCCAGTGACAAGGTCAGGAGGCTAATTCTTAATTCCTCTCTACTGTGCACTCAAAGACTTGGTTTAGTCAAATACAAAAACCTATTTTATATCCTCAAAAATTGTTGGCTAGTCTAGAAATTGGTCTTAAATATTGGGGAAAGAGGCTCCTGGTGGACACACTCAGCAGTTGTGTGAGATGCTTGTTGTTTGCTGGCTCTCTGACCCAGCTGCTGCTCTCCATGGCAGTGAAGGGGCGTGGACTTGGCACAGCGATTTATAAGCTTTGTGTTCTAGTTCCTTCTCAGATGTAGTTCCCAAGTGCTCTCTCTTCACCACACCGGTCCCTCGAGCTTCCGTGACATCCATCCAGCACCTTCCCAGTAAAATCCCATGATCCATGACTTAACTCCTTTTCCTCTTTTCAACTTTAGTTTTCAGCAGGACTAACAAAATCAAGGCTTGCAGTAACCATAGCCAGCTCAGTTATCCCTTTATTTTTGCATGGAATTTTATCTTCATTATCTAAATATATATATTTTTTAAACTTTGAAGAAATCACTCTTTCTCTTAATTGGTCAGTACTACATTTCACAGTGCAACGATTTTACCAACTCATCTCACTGATCAGACTTGGTTTTATCGTTCATGTTTGTGGGGCAGTGTGGTTGAATTTCCTTGCGTTCTGATGCTACCCAAAGCTGTACTACTATCGATGTATTTCCTATTGATGACCGTTAGACTCATATTATTCTCTGCCCCCAAAGAGTCTTCTGTAAAACAGCCGTTAGAAGCACAGGCTTTGAAATGAAACAGACCTGTTTAACCACTTTGAGCCTTGGTTTCTTCATCTGTGAAATGGAGATTGAACATAATGTTACCTACTTCAGAGGGTGCCTATCAGAATTAAATCATAATATACAAAACTCATAGTGAGAGCAGCTCCATCATTCCCAGTGGACGTGAGCGCATGTGCGAATCACGGGCACGGGGCAGCACCGTCAATATTTAGTAAACATTCAGTATATGGTTAGTGCTGTTTTTGGTATCATTATTTGTCATTATCATTAATTAGGATATCATAGCTCTGGGAACATGATGTACCATGTGATTCATGAACTCCGCCAGCTCTGACTGTGGCTTTCTGTGTTTTCTTCACTAAAGGAAACAGCTTCTATTTAAGTGGGAACGTAATAGCTCTCCTTTAGACCAAGGCTGCTAAAGAGATAGTATCGAAGTTGAGAGTAAGCTTTTAGAAACAGATCATAGCATTTTGGCACAATAATTTTATGTCCTTGAATCTCATAAACATTACAGGTCTTTATCTCATGGAAGTGAATTGAAATTTGTTCAATTTGTTTTGTTTTGTTTTATATCACACAAGTTAACATTGATCTAAATAATTGCTGGTACTGCTGTCTATTCCTGTTGGAAGAAAGTTGTTTACATGGTAGAGAAAGTGTTAGCAAAATGAAATCATACCCCATGTTGAGTCCAGGCATCTAATTTTAGTCAGTCTTAAGCAGTTGCATGATACATTCAAGTTTGTTTAAATCTGCTTTCTGATATGGTTGTGATCATCTTTAACAAAAAGAGTTTATAATTACTCCATTTTGAAAAGTAGTTTTTCTTCTGTTTTTTGTTAGGGAATATATGTGGAAGTGTCCTGACGTGGCTGATGCAGCACATGTGGACGCATTTGCTGCATTTTGCTAATAAATTTATTTAACAAAATTAGAAGTCATTCCAAATTAGCTTATCTTAATTTTAAATAAATTGATGATGTTTATCTTGCAATATGGGAGTAAGACCCCTTGAAATCTTGAATGTTATGTAATAACTTGCTTATTAATGTTATATTTAAGTGCATTATCCCCTGGATAATTGTGACTGTTTTTTTCTGTTAGGAAATGTTAAATCAACTTACTATTTAGGTTAAACAAAGTTACTTTGCAATTAAATATTTAATACTTTCTAGGTGATATTATAAAATAGTATTTCCTAAAAGTAATTTACAGTTTCTCATTAACTTTATGAAAAATTACTCCTATTGCACTTAGAATGAAATTTCTCTTACTTTAATTCAGATAATTGACATCTTGAGTTGTGTTTTGTTTGCCAATTATTGATGAGTGTTCGGCTTTTAAAAAATTAAGTTCTGTAGGGGCCTATCCATGAGTGCTGACTGATTTCCAAAGTAAAACACTCACTGCGTCATTTCCAACTTTACAAGGTAACTTCTAAGAGTTTTGGGGTTTGTTTGTTTTGTTTTCTTTTGTTTTTGGTATCTTCATTTTTAATATGAGAATAAAAATGTTCTATGATTTCATCACTTAGGAGTTAATATTACTAAAATATTAGTGTCACAGTTTCATCCATGAGTACATACTTGTTTTGAGTTCATAAGACCCTTAATCATAATAGATTCAAATATAAAGATTCAATACTGTTTTCTTAATATTTAATACTATCAGTATGGTTTCATAAACAGACCAAAAATTGAAGTTTAAAGCTTAACAATTTTTGCTAGGCCAGAGTAACTGTGTTTTATTATCACTCTTAAATATATTGAATCTGTCTATTTTCGACTACATTTTATCCTTTGATATAAATAGAATACATAATAAGCATCTGTGGGATATGCAATTAACGTCACTTTTGAGGAAAGGCCCTCATAACACACTTGGGCTTTGGCATTCTTAAATTACGAGCTCTTTACGGCACTCGTGGGATAAATCCCATATCTCCCAAAAGTTTATTAGACAGCTTCCGTTTCCCTTATTTCCTATTTTCTGGATTAGCAGTTGTTTTGCTGTGGTTTTGCTTCTAGTAATTTAATTGGGGAGGTTCTTGGTTATTGATAAACAGTCTTCTAAGCTGTGGTACAGTTTCAGAATATTTTATCACAGCATATTTGTTCTAACACATATCACAGTAAGATTATGTATGACAACCAAGTTTTTTAAAGTTACATTTGAAGTATAAACATATGGTAAAAAATATAACTCTGTCATCAAAGTCAGTATAATAACCCATCTTAAAAATGCTTTCTCTCAACAGTTTAGGAAATAGCTTCCTATTCTAAACACAATTAATGGAAATGTTCTTGTCTTTTCAATGAGCCTTATATATTAAATGTAAAATACAGACTGAGTGAAAAGAAGATGAAGATTCAATGATACTTTGTTGGTCACGCATCCCCACAAAATTACTCATTTTGAAAAAGTTGGGTTTTCCCTTCTATATGAAGAATTATGATAAAGAATTATGAGGAAGAGTAATAAATTATTTGAAATAATGATTAATACTTGTTAATATCTGTTATGCCCTGTGGGCTAGTCATGGCACTAAAGGCTCCATGTCGATTCTCTTACTTACCCTCACAGCACGCCGGGCCAGCCACTGTTGTCATCTCTGCTCTGTAGATGAGGGACTCAGGTCTTGTAAAGGCTTACTGAGGTGGACTAGCGACCACAAAACTGAGCCAGGTTTTGAACTCTTGAGCGTCCATTTGCAATCCGATATTACCAGGGCCACGGGTGTGGTAGGAAACTGAGATACCCAGAGGTACCATGCATCAGACTGGACCACGAGCCAGTGCAGGGTGAACCAGGTAAGCAGCAAAGCCCAGACAGGTGCACGGCCGGGAGTTAGAGGAGTCTTGTTAGTAGTGATCAGAAACCAGCGTAGTAAGGAGGCAGTGGAGATTGGAGGGCCCGAGAGC